CGAATCATATATAATTTATCTTAATAACATTAATAACAGACAAACGTGCAGCAATAGGAATTAATAAATTACATGATAACAAATGATCATAGAATATAACAATTACATAGAACCAAACAGAGAATGACATCAAGGAAATATATTCGTCTTGTCCAGGGCTTTGCTCCAAAGAGATAGAAAGCCTGGGGCTGCCGTCCTCGGTGGCGAGCTGTAGCCGACTCCTCGTTGAAGATCTTCTCGGTCGCCGCTCCGCTCTGAAATACCATCATGAGTCATCTTGTAACATTGTCAGCTGATAGCCGCGCTTGCACGGCGCGGCTCACAAAGAAAAGATCACAGTCGGGATCTGAAACAGCAGTACGGGGCCGTGAAGCGCACTCCAGAGTTGCCTGAGGGGAGCGCAACGCACGGAGCCTTCACGTCATATACCTAAACAAAATCCTTCACGGAGATGAGCGCTTAGCAAAACAGCGACCTCCTGCAAGATCGTCCACGGCATGGAAATCCAATAAATACAGTGGAGATCACGACCTTCAAGCACGATCGTAAAGAAATCCAATATGACCCCAGAGCCCCACCAGGTGGACACGACCTAGTAAAGGACAGGACGTGCTATGTTGGAGGTATAAGGGTATGCGGATTCGCGATGGACGATGTCTTCGGGAGCTTCGATACGTCGCGGTCCACATAAGTATCTGACAGAAGGCTATCTATTACTAGGCGGGAGCGCTCTCGGAAAGCAATGGTGTCTTTAGGTGCTGCAGTTCGATGAACAGGATATCCAACGGAGAACGTTCTGGAATGACCTGTGGAATAAGGGATTTGCTAAAAATAGAAATTACACGCGGCACAGCCTCTCTAAACATGTGAATGGGGCGAGGGTTGATGACTATCTAAGTAATTAGTATAACCTTCCGGTGATGTTCAGACGGAGCGGATAAAGTGACAGCCAGCTGCTCCATTGAGGTGATCAGTCCCGCCATGGGTTTGGTGGCTGAGGACGCGGAAGACGAGCGAACCGACGAAGAGCGTCCACCCAGAGGTGACAAGGAAGCGGACGAAGCTTCTTGGGCTGGAGCAGGAGTGTCGGCATCGCGAGACGTTGCGCTCTGCTCCGGTCTTGTATCGGCGCTTTCGTCTTGCTGACGATCAGGTCTGAAATACTACACGATACCGGAGTGGTGCCCATAGGCTCCGGATCGTGAGGAGAGGACTCCACAGACGTAGCAGAGTCAACGTTAACGAAAGCTGAGAAGAATCTGCCCCGCTCTCAGTGAGGGTAGGATCGAAATATTCCGGAATGGAGGCGCATCTCGGCTAAACTCGTTAGTGTACATGGCTACCGTGATCCGGAAGGGCTAGGAGTTCAAATCGGAGATCAATGATTAGCAAAGATGATATGGGGAATCAGAAAGTTTATGATTGTAATGTTGCCGATTCGAGAACCAGATAAGCTGGGAATGTTATACGATAGATATGCTATCTGATGAGAGATCGGAAGTGATATGGGAATGCGAGCTTCCAAGGACCAACAAATCTTAGCGGCATGGGAACGTATGGTAGGAGCGTAATGTCATGAAAACAACATGTGCTAAGGCGAACTGAGCAATAAAATGATCGTAAAGATCACCAGTGAATCAAGCGAAAAGGGCTAACTATCCTACTCAAAAAAAGCACTGTAAGAAGATGTGAACATGATAGAATTCTGTGGAGTAATAAAAGTTTAAAGAGTATAAGGGTCTCGAACCGTGTGACGCGATGGACGTGGGGTTGAGCGGCTTTCTAAAGAATAGGAGGCACTCAAAATCGACCCCGTAATCGATGTAAGAATTCCACTCTACACACGCGCTCTGCTCTGGATGCGCCAGGCGCGCACAAAGAGCGGTGAGCCTTTAACATGCTCTGCAGCCGCTCCTCTTCCTGGTATCATTTGAAAGCGGATAGTAATAAGCATCACTAATCGACGAACCCAAGTTTGCAAATAATAGGACTAAACAGTGGAGGACAATATGTGGTAGAAACTAAGGATAGTTTCCAAAAGGAGCTTACGATCAGCTGACTTAAAAGAACTGTCACTGAGCATAGGAGTGTGAAGCAAAGAAAAGAAAGGATTTACTGCATGAATTATTCTCGATGGGTGGTCAACCGGCAGAAGAAGCAAATAAAACATTATGCACGGTTTACTAATCATTCATTTTTGTTCTTTTTGTCTTTTCTGTGCCTTTTGTTTTTTTCCTAAGGTATGCATGTCCAAAACTACCACTAGAGCTCACTTGTGGACCACACTTAACGCCGCACAACTTAACAACACGAACTAAAACTTGGCATCACGAATTTTTAACGTCCCGAACAACACATCTACTGGGTGCACCCTACGCAACGAGAACTCACAACATCTCGAAAGATCTCTCGCGAGACGGACTCTACTTCTCAACTTTACTTGAACAACCCTCGGTTGGAACTATTACTCAGAGCCCAAACGACTGTTTAGACCATAGTCAGGGGTACGCGCGAGTCGAATTTTCGAATGGACAAAGAAAACCGTATCCCCCGTTTCTTCTGACTGCTTCTGGAAACTTGTTGACGTTCCGGCGACAGTTAACGCGCCAGCTGCGCTAGATGAGCTTCACAGACTCCTTCCAAAAAAGAACGGCAGCTGGTATCGACTTTCAAAACCTGCACGATGCTACTATACACTACCCAAAGTCAACCGGAGAGGGCGAAAAATCTTCTCTACGCGAACGATCAGAAGAAAACCCAACGAGTGGCCAGCTCAGAAAGGCTCAGACGATCAAATCATCAGCGAGGGGTGAGCCACTCGCTGCTACCGATAAGCGAGCGCGCCCAGCGGAAGGTGCGATCGCTAAGTTCACCTTGTTCTAACACCTCTTGAGTAATAAGAATTTATCTTTGAAACATAAAAACAACATGAGCCAATGAGAGGAGCAATAAAGACAACAAGATATACATAACAAGTGGAATGCGAAAGAGACTGATGGGTAAACAGGAGGTTGTAACTCTTTTGAACAGGACAGGGAATCGCCCCAGATGGAGAGACGGACGTCGACTGCAGTCCTCGGCCCGTGTAGCCGGTAGACTCCTCAAGCTTCCCCTAGTCACGCCCTGAAAGAAGAAGCTGAGTTATCAGGGAAGCATTCCTAGAATCTTCATATGCTCACGTCCCTTACATTTTAACACAGGGGTGTTTTAGTAATTTGGCTCTTTCACCCATTCACTCAAGTTGACTGTGCAAGTATACTCTGACTTACTTACGCTCGTGGAACGGATTCTCCCCGATTTCCCACGTCCGCTTTGCGGCATGAGGCAAATCCTTTTTATTGTCTCGCGGCTCTGAACTGCAATTACCGTACTCGACCCTCCTCCCCGCCAATAGATAGGACGAAATGTTTTAATTGATTCTTTCTTTTTTGATTGATTTTGGTTGTTTTTTCTCTTTCTTTTTCGTTTTTATGTTTATTAGACTTGATTGTTTGGAATGACTACTTCTATCTTATCGATGATAAAGACCGCGTTGGAATTGGAGGGAGCGGCCAGCGTATTCAAATAACTAAAGGACTCCCTAACTCTAAAATGCGCACTCCAATCTTAATAATTCTGCGATACGTGGCGGGTGCTTCGACCGCGATGCCGTGTTCGGGGGAAGATCCCGGACTTCTTACACACACTCCACGCGCCTCCGCCCTCTGCATCCCAACTACCACTAACGTTCGCGGGAGGGATCTAGTTCATTATTTCTGCATGGCGTGTACCATTAGTGTCTTGATCCTGCTGCTTGAACCTCTACTGAATATGAGCGTTCCAAGTCCAAGGAAACAGGAGTCATGGATTGCCCTTAAAGACACAGTTCACGATAATTTTGTATAATAGAAAAATAATGCGATGAAAGCGAAAGAACTGCGTGAATCGATGTTACCAAAGAGAAAAAGCTTCGAAAAATCGTTAGAAAGGGGCTGAACGAGAATGAAACCAAAAGAACGAAGAAGAGTGGGCGTTCGGGCGAGCTATACTATGTAAGTCATTGCGAACGTGTGGGTCCTGGTACAAATAACTGACTACGTTAAGCACAAATTCATTCACCTTTGAGCATAAGTAAACAAAAAACCCCTAGTAACAACAAAAGTAGCTCACCTTCTCTAGCCGCTTGGGGCAGGAAATTAAATAAGGGATTGCTGCAGCAAAAAGAATAATAGAGGAAAAAGAATAGGAGAAAAGCATCGCCTCATCACTCAGCGACCGGCTGATTGTGTGTGGGTCCTAGAACGAATAACTGCAATCTGTATCGCCTCAACGCTCGTCTGACGTGACATCGATCGAGGGGAGGGAAGGCTGCGTGAGCTGGGAACAGGGCTTCCACTATGCCCTAACCATCGAGGTTTTTGGGCGAGAAAGGGCCCTTTCTATTACCCTTGTAGATTGATAGGAAGAAGTGAACCCCTAAAGTTGAAGTTAATGAACGCCTTCTGTCATCAGCGATGCTCAAGGGCGCTCAAAGTCACACAGTAATGAAAATTTCCAAGACCTATCATAGCAATAGCTGATGCCATGTATTTCCCGAATGAAGGAAACAGGACAAAAATGCCCAAACTGTCAGTGCCCTGCGTTTGAGGGCAATTTCTGCTCCAAATCCGAGCATTTTTGCTAACTCCGTGGAACGGTACGATGAAAAACGGTCGTGGTTTACACCTTCATTTTTACGGAAGAGTTCTTTCTCTGTAGTACTAATGAGTTATGAATGAACTTTATTTTCCTTATCTGTGCATATGATTCTTATGACATACAACTCCGCAGTAGACGATAAAATTGCACGAAATTCATAAATATTAGCTGAATGAAATCAGACACAGTAAGTAACGAACAGGTTGCAAATTTGGAAAGGCTGATTGTGTCGAAACTGACAAATCTCCCTGCAACTTGTTCAGCATTTTTTTTCCACATACACTCAGCCGCCGCCGTTTTACTCCCTCACTAACTGGCTCCATGATGCAGCTCCTATAAAAATACATTTGAATAGTTAGTTGAATTGAATGGTTACGGTTTTGAAGTCGGTCGGACCTGTAATACTTCCCAACCATTTGACTGAGTCCTCAGCACATAGTCAACATTCCCGCCTCGCAAATTCATCCGAGCTGTTCTGAAAAATAATATATGAAGGATGCATCTGCTACCTTTTTCTATCTGTCGAAGAGTGTAGGGAATTTTCGGCGGAATAACAAACATATGGATTTTGAAAGAGCCTTACTTAAACAGATCATTCAGAAAGTTTGAGCTACTATATGTATGTACATGGACGTTAGGTCTGAATTCTTGAAGTCATACAAGAAACAAACTCGCTTCTCTTTGTCTTTCGTGATGAGCCGATTCGTGATTAGGCCTTTTTTAGGATTGCAGATATGAGGAGCAGTCATACAGTGGTTGTGAATTATTGGGAATTATTCGGTGTTATAACTACGACGTGCAACACTTAAAGGCACACTTCAAGATAAAAATGATTTCTGATATTCCCCCACTGAATGAATTTTAGGCCCCCCGCATATACCATATCTGGTTAGGTCGGAAAACGGCCTAGTTAATGAGTTTTAAAGGCTCAAAGACTGGCCCGTGTGTATCCTCGGGCATCATAGAGGCTGTACCAATCACAAGGGAACCCATCTAGAAAGTTCAAACAACTTGTTATGACCCATAGCGACAGTGAAAGACAGTTGTCTACAGTTTTGGCTTGAGCTACAGTTATGGCGCAAAGAGCTGGCAATCAGCTCTTTGGCATCTTTCATAGGCCACGACCGATCGCGCGACCGGTCGCGCGACTGGTCGCCAGTCGCTAGCGACTGGTCGCTTGACTGATCGCGCCACTGGTCGCTCGATCGGTCGAGGAGGCCGCGCTAGTTGTGGGTGCCGCCGTGGACGGTCCCGCGCGATCAGTCGAGCGACCAGTAGCTAGCGACCAGTCGCTAGCNTACATGTTATTTCCGTCATGGCAATCTCGTCCAACCTCTATTTTCTCTACTTTTGAGGGGCCTTATTTTTCTCCGAATCGGCGAATTCTTACGCTTCCTTCGCTACTGATGAACTATTTCCAACCTATACTTCCGCTTTTCGACTAAAAACGAGTGCCTCAGAAATGAACTGTGCCTTTAATAGCATATTACGCATCACGTACCTCAGTCCATAGACTAGAGAGCATGATAGCCTAGCCTTCATCGCAGTGATCAGATGAGTGCAGTCAGAAACATTTCGAACTTTTTGGTACCCTTTCAGAACACCATCTGTCAGAGACTTCAGTCTGGAAAGCCTGTTCAATTGGTTATTTAATCACTATGGAAATGCATCAGATCTAAATCTTCGCAATCATTCAGTTTTGGAAAAGAAATACTCTTCTTGACTGAATGTATAAGGAATCAAGATTTCTGGTGATTGACTCACGTTTGTTTTTGTTTATCCGATAAATAGAGGTAAAGGATTGTCGATGCAATGTCTACTATTCTGAAGGATTCATGTACGTCTCCGAAATCAAGAAGGCCGGTTATCTGAAAGCACGAAGTCATTCTACATGCGAGAAGATCATTTTGAAAAACAAGTCTTACAACATATCACCGTGTCACTTCCCTAACGCATGCCCGTTCAAGAGCATAATCTTTCGAATTGCAATGAGAAATCTTGGCGACAAACCAAAAGTCTCCGTAGCCTAACTCGAAGGAGATGTCAAAAATTGGATGGCACTCAATTATGCAAAGGATTGAGATAGAAGCAGCACAAAATATCAATAGAGCAGTTTAGAAATGAAAAGCATCCTTCCCCACGATCACCTCAACACCTTCGCTTTTCGTACTACATTGACACAATTTTCATGGGTGCTGATCATTGGGAAATAGAGCATTGCTCCGAAATGAAATTTCAAAGGTGCTAAACGATCATTAGTTCATGCGCTGGGGCTGTGACCAAATCAGATTTCTCTAGGTAGGATCTCCAATAGTGTAGGCCACCCTTAAGCTGGTAGCAGCGGGAAGCAGCTGCTGTACCAACTAAGGTCTTTGCTATTATTGACTGGTAATGTACTGTTGGTTCTAGACTTCAACCCCTGTTTCGCACCGCCGCAGTTGAAAGGTCATGAAGTATCGCGAATACACATCACTGTGATGTGCACACACATATATGTACAACACATACATATGTTATATACACACATATATGTATATCGACAGACACGGGTACACGAACATTCGCTGACACCCACACCAACACAGACATCGACAAATGAACAGAGTAATGTGATTGGTGAAGAATCGATGGTGATTTCTGAATTATCCCCATAGTTAAAGTTACTTTGAAAAGACGGGGTCAAAATGATGTTCAAATTTTTGAACACTGGTGAATTAAACACAAGTTTTCGAGTGGGCTTAGAGTGGAGCAACTGATGCAGTTCATTTTTGAATATGTTCCAACACTTTTGGTACTCAATTAAGGATCCAATTACCTCCGTTGTACCATTCCTTTCAATCATGAGCACATTCGTTTCGTTGATGTCAGAGTGTATCAAGCCTGGAATAGACGTTTTTAACTTGGGCAAGGTCTGTGAGATTGATTTAATGTGAGGTAATTTCCACTAGGAGATATGATGTGCAGTGGTGGTGAGTTGCAAGTGGCCCCCATAGCCCCAGATCGAATCTCGAATCGAAACCCTTCCAGATCAATCATGTCTTGTTTCCATTCGAGGTCGGGTAATTGGCACCTAATTTGTATAGGAAGATAAAATAATTGAGCATTGGCTGGCCGCTGCAATTCATTGAATAGGCAAATGCGTACTCAGATGTATTATTCTGAATGGAAGTTGAATGCGGGGCGTCTCCCAAGAACAGTATTGAGGAATGCCAAAGGCTTTTGCCTCCATTTATATTCATATCCTTTACGAGAAATAATCATGACCAAGCATAAATTGTCATATAAAGGCATGGTTCCGTCCAAAAGGGAGTTTTGAGGTCTCCAGCCAATATTTTGATGGGCGCAAATAAAAAATGGAAGTGCTTCTGGCCACCTAACATTCTTCAGTGTTTTTGCTCTTATCATCGTTTTGTGCAATGGTATAAACCATTTGCAGGAAACATACAAAGATGCTTTTTTCGAACAGAATAAAGTAAGCCCTTGGAAGTGCAGCTACTGCAAGGTTTCCGAGCCCCCTGAACCTACCTACCAATTCTTGTTCAATATCAAATCTGGTAAGAATTGTGATTCAACTCCTGTCACCTATCCGAAGAATACGAGACTGACGAATAAGTATACTGGAACAGGCAGGAAAGGGGTAGTTGAAGGATGGCTGTGAAAAAGATAAAGAGAACTTTTCTGTTCATAGCTCATAAGCTCCACATTAACTTCATTTTCTTAAGTTGCGTCAAAATCTCATGTGTGGTGGCACAGGACAAAACAGATTTCAGGGAAAAAGTCGTGTAAGTGACGAAGCAAGTTTTGGCAATAGCATACCGATCTCATGCATTTCGCGATGATTTGCGATTCGATCATCAAACTCGGCTAAACACTCAGCTATGAGCTGAAATTTCTCCTTCGATATGAGTGATTGCTCCTTTAACATTTCCGCCTCCTTCAAAATACCCCGCCGATGTTCGATCGCAATATATGGAACATGATCAACTGTCACTGCAATCAGTAGTTCGTCAATTATTTGGAAATCTGCCAAAAGTCTGACAAAGAATTTATATAAACTAACACTTTGATTTGTCAGCGATAACATGGAATTTTGCGAGAAGTTCACCGAGATTCTCAATCACCTCAGAACTATAAGTGAAATTCTCAAGATTCGAGCCAGGAATAATTTCGAACAGCCGTACAGGCAGGTGCACTGGAAGATGGAGGTCAAAACGCTCTAAAGAAAAAAATACTGAAATAAATGTTACCTCCATCAAGAATCTCTTCGAAAGCCCAGTCACGCCCATCTAATCGCTTGATAGTTGTTGGGCATGGAATTCCTTCATCATTGAGAACCTGACAAATTTTGATCTGAAAATCTGAAAAGAAATCTCTAAAATGATTACAAAATGAAATTTAACTCCGGAAGAGAGCTGGTAACAATTCATCTTTTTGAATCTCTTTGCTGTAAACATCAACACTATGTAAACAATATCATAAGGGCTGGATGAAATGACGCAACCGTTAAGAGATTCAAAAAAGCTTCTTACTCATCTGCTTGGCACACACCAAAATCCAATTATGCACATAGATTCAACTTATATCTAAAAGGATTAGAAATGTGGTTTATATTCATCAGAATTTGCTGAATTGAATCCCTCGCAAGGGCACTGAGCAGTCTTTTCCCGAGTATTGCAGCGAATTTCGCAAAGTTCCCGACCACGATGACAGTCGCAAAAATTCCTAATGAGCCTCTCCATCAGAAAATGATAACTCCATGTTTTTTTTTACTTTTCCACTGGCTTTGCCCAAAACCATCTTCTTAAGCAACTGCGCTCTTCAAAAGTGGGGTTCCAGTCTTGTAGCGATTCCGACTTTGGCTGCTGGGCACGGGTAGAACGAGCTTCTAAATGCGCCATTTGCAGTAGTAATTCAGATTTAGAAAAACGACTTCGGGCTGAATCAGACAAAATTTTGGAAAAACTACTAAGGTGCACTCCAAGAATGTACTCCAGCAAGCTGGAGAGGAGTGGATTAAGGAGACAAAGAATGGACCTGATAATATGTAGTCTATCATATGATGAGGTTCACTCGTCAGATGTTCATTTCTGACCTTCCACAGTGCCATTTCGCTTTGCTACGCTCATCGTTTCAAACCAGCCAAAGCAATTACTCGACAGGAAGCATAGTCATGTTGGCAGAAGAGCTTTGAGAAGTAGAGCTGGATCCTTATGAGCACTTAGTCGAAGAACTCATAAATAAAGTCGCCAAAGTTTGGTTCAGTCCCTTCCAGTTAACAACTTTTCATCCTCTCTCACTTGTGAAAATAAGCCGTTAACTCAGAGTTCACGTAATACCGGAGGGAATTAAATTGTCTATTAAGATTTACTGCCTACTGTCTGGGTTTAGTCGCATAGCCTAGGGGTTAGTTTCCAGCCTATACTCAACTTTTATAATACAGTAAGTTCCTCCGCTCGAGCCTGATTGCATCTAATGAGTTCAGTTAGCCACTAATTAATAGTTTCTCCTCCGTATTACTTCTAACAATTACCCATGCCCATGCCAGTAACTCAATGACTAGGAGATAGGTTGAGAGCCTTTCTTTTCCAGTGAATTTTACCACTTCTCATCGGGAGTGACCTCTTCTTATTACTATTTCTTTACATATTTCCCATTTGCTGCTTGTGCACACACCCATTTTTCATGTGAGACACTAAAGTAAACACTGCACTATCGACACGAGATGCCCTCCCGAATTCGGTGGCCCTTGCCTACTATCAAGCATTACCAGTCGTCGTCTCTAAGTCTGCATTGAAAATCAGTGTTCACACCATTCATGCATGAATTCGTTAACATAAGTGGCTATACAAGGAAAGGTAAGAAAATAAGCAACATATGGGAAGCTTATAAAGATTAAAAACTGGAAAATCTTATTTTTTGAGCCGCCTCCCAGAACTTCAATGCCCCCCTCTCAGTGTTTCACAAGTTTTCTGATTTTGTCGGGAAGAAAGTTTATCGTATGCATCTGCTACCAATTTTTCACCGCAGCGATCATCCCTGGCTCAAATTTCGAGCCCCGCAAAGCCCCTATGAAGTTCGAACATAAGAATTTAGGATCCTGATCTGGATTGCAGGCCTTCCAGCAGCTGGATTCCCATCTCCTTTATTCGAAACGGACGAAGAGTCCGCGAACTTCTCAATTTTTGACTTCTCCTCAAACATACGGTAGTCACCACTGATGATCCCAAATTTGGTTCACAACGTCGATCCAGACAAACGAGGAGTACTTATCAATGTAAGGCTGAAAAGCGTAAGCAAAGTGAGAACTCTCATTCCAGATGTAGGGCTCACTTTATTGAATTGGATCATTTCCCCACGACGGAAACAGGCTAACAAAAGTGGAGGAACAGTAGTAAGGGAGCTTCTCATATTGATGTCGGCATTTGTCATTACATCTAACAATAAGTAATGTCATTGATCATTGTGTTTGGTCAATCGGGCCTTTGGTCATCGGGTTGTAAATCTTACTCGGTCAGCAGTCATCTAAAGGACAGCAGACGGCAACGTTGAACACTTCCTTTGAGGGAACCGCTTAACTCACATTCATTGGAATTCCTTTAACAATAAGTGCACTTAAAGGCACATATCACGATGAGAACGGTTCTGGGATATCCCATTATGATAAATCACCTCTCATACCATATGAAAGGTGGGGTTGCCAGATCGAGAAACGGCTTAGATAGGGTGTTAAAGGAGCTTGAATATTCACCAGCTGTATGCCACGCCCAGAGTAGTAGTTTCAACGGTATTGTAGACTGCACCATTCTCAAGGGAACCCATGCAAGAAGTTCAAACAACGTGTTATGGCGACAGTGGAAGGCAGTTTTGGCCATTTTTGACATATTGTAGTCAGCTCTTTACGCATGTGCAATAAATGAAACTTCTTTCAAAACATCCCTTCCGTGCCATCATAATAATCCCGCACAACCCCTATTTCGCTGCTTTTAAAGGCCTTATTTTTCGCGAAGTCAGCGGATTTCCTGGCTTTCTTTGCCACCGATTCACTATTCTCTAGCAAAACTTCCGCTTTTCGACTTAAGAAGGGCACGTCAAAGTTATTGTGATGTGTGCTCTTGAATGAATTTGTAACATGACAGATATGACATTGATGATGAAAGCATGGAACATTTTGAAGGAAACTGGCTTACCAATGTTCTGTTCACACTTCGCCTCGAGCGGATTCGACACTTTCAGGATGGCCTTACTACAATCTGTTCCATTTTCCCATATAACATCAGTTAGAAGATAATTACAATCGTCATAGCCAGTTAGTTCTTCCAAACCAGCTGAACAAGGTTGACTTGAAACTCTATCAAGTCATAATCACCAAAGCACAGAGACTAGCTATGAGCACCTTGATTAATACCATAGCTGGACTTCAGTAGACGATGAAGATGATAGTAATCTGGCACAGGAGCCTGTGTGATCTCATCACACGAATATGGTTCCATATAAACTGAAAGCAGCGGTAACTACTTCTATGAGACCTGTGACCATATCAATCAATCAATTTCTATCCTTTAAAGGCACAGTCCACGATAAATATGGTTTCTCAAATTTCCCTGTAGTATGGGTTTCGAAGCTCCCCCTTATACCATACCTGCCGTTATAGTTTCGAGAAACCTTTCGGATAGGGTACAATAAGGGGCGGGTAANACGCGATATTTTTCCTTGATTGACTTGCTTTTTCATTGGATTTTATCGTTTTTTCTTCTGTTTCTTTTTAGTTTTCATGTTAAATAGACTTGATTAATTGAAATGACTCCTCCTATACAAACTACGGTCAAGTCCGCATTGGAATTGAAAAGAGCGGCCAGCCAATTCAAATAATCAAAGGACTCCCTACCTCACAAATTGCGCGCTCCAATCTTCCATCGCAATCCTGCGATAGGCGGTGGGTGCGGCGTGTGCGACACCGTGTTAGGGTAGAAGGTCCCGGACCCATAAGGGACCACAGTTTGCATTGTGTGAATGCCATACCCACGGTGGACGAGTTTCAACGGCTTTCTAGAGGCTGCACTATCTCATGGTACTGCTATGTAGGATATTCAAACGACTTGTCGTAACCCATGGCGGCAGTGAAAGACAATTTTGACAATTTAGCTCGATGTGGTCATCTCTACGCAATCGGAGCAAGTTAAATCTCGTCCAAACACCCTTACATGCTATTTCCGTCATGGTGATCCCGTACAAGCTACACTTCCATTACTTTTAAAAAACCTTGAAGTAGGCGGATTTCCTCACTTTCTCAGCCACCCGTGTACTCCTCTACATCAACACTCCGCTTTTCAACTTAGAGAAGGTACCTCAAAGTTATCGAGAACTGTGCCTTTAAGAATACAGTACACACGGCGTCTTACAGTGGTGAATTAGCCGCATAAGGATTATTTGTTTGTTTGCTCATGAATACTATATATGGTTATGGTGAGGGGGGGGGGGGGGGGGTGAAGGGGGGTAAATCTAGTTGAGGAAACGCAGAGAAGGAATGGTAGCCGACTTTTCTCATGCTTCGAGACGGTTCTCAGCAAAAAAGAATAGTTTATGTCTAACCTTAGCAGAGCTTAGCTCTGGGGGAGTACCGGAGCTGGGCAGGACGATTACGTCAATTAGCTGAGGTAAAAATAATATGCAATTAAATCACCCACTCTGGTCCTCCTTCCCTTCTGCGGCTTGAAAAAAAAACTATACTTTTTGGTCAAGAAACTTTACCATCAAGGCTACTCCTTCTCCGCGCTCCAGTGCTCATTGTCGGAAAAGAGCAGTGCCTCCGCAGTACATTATCACCCTACGCATGCTCGTGACATCGAAAACTTTCATCAACATGTGCACTCTTCATGATTGGTAGACATTGTGGGTACACAGTCACATACGCATGGCTCAGGGATCGAATCTAACTTGGTGCTTGCCCACAGTAAGCAAGTCTTCCATCCCTCCATGGTCGGTTAATTGGTAACAAACTCGTCTGGGAAGGTAAAAGCACCGACTTGTACGACACGACTACGACAATAACAGAAACTGGAAGAGGGGCATATCCCAGACACGGGGTTGATCAACGTCAAAAAACAAGACAAGAGAGAAACTTTCATTATGAGCAGGTCACACAGATTATCAAAAAAAAAAAAAAANAAAAAAAAATGATTGAGAATGTCCGATTAACAAAAATACAAAGTTTGACAGCAACATAATAACTGGCAAAGCTCGAGGTATTAACACCTACTTATACGTCGACCACCGGCGAGTACATGACATATTGATCCTTACTGCATTTTACTTCGACATGTAGATCAAGTAACGATCATATGTACCTATGTAATTTGATCGATGTATGACCCCTTTGAATTCACGCAAACTTACGAATATATCAAGTTATTTATTTATATTTATTTATATCGGGAAACAAGACATAAGGATCTGATGCAACGAATGCTTTCAATGAAGTGACTGGAAATGCACTGATCATGGGTGGGTGCCCTTTATCGCTATCGTAACATCCCGTTGGTTTGATACCGCTACACCAATTGGTACCCAAGCAATCTGTTAGGGGTCGGCTCCCTTATCGCAGCCACTGGTTTGCAGACGGGCACGAAAGCAAACCGAAAGACTGATAATTAGGATTGTCAAGTAGTTTATATAAAAGAAGTGTATATACAGAAGAAAACACATGAATTTCAAATGCACACAAATCAGATCAGCATTGAAAGAAGCGCTAGTAAATGATATAACTACATGTAACTGGCGAGATTCAGACTAGTTTGGGAATGTCAATTTCCGGGTGAGGTATGCACATTTGAAAGTACTATACTCAAGGTAGAATTGAAGAGGTCTTCGGAACCAGCAATCACTTTCATCAGCCGGGATAGTTGACATTTTCGCAACCCTCTTTGTATGTTCTCCGGTAGACGAACTCATGTACGCACTCGACGATTCCGTGGTCAAAGTTCGGATCCGCTTTCACGAACAGATTTCGCGATTTCCTGGAAAATAGATATCTAGGAGATGGGCTAGAAAAAGCGCTAATTTTTACCGTCGTTTTTCCGTCCAGCCTCTAATTTTACGCACTTTTCAAGCCTTATATTTCTCTCAATATGCCGATTTTCGCGATTTCTTCGGCACTATTGCACTATTCTTGATTACCAGTTGAGCTGCGCACAGTACCGTGCGCCTTTCATGACCTTCGATATATGGACTTCCTCGAAGATAACACTGAGCGGATGTATGCTAGTACCTTAGAAGTGGAATCCATGGTCAAGGGATGACTAACGCCTTTTTTTTTCTACATGAGTGCTTCACTCGATGGAGGAACCTATTCACGCTTGTTGCAGGGATCTTCAGAAGCGAGTAAAACCAACACAACATTTTCCGCCTCTACCTGTTGCAGTCACAATTTATCAGCACAAACAAACTCTTAAAAAATGAATTTGAAATCAGCCGGAGCTCCTCATGTCAGCCTTGTTATCTCATCGGATCGCCCGGCTGGCGCCTGGCGCCCTCCTACTATCTGTGTAAAAATACCGTGTCGCCTACGTTTCCTCCAAATATGGATGCTCTGGTACAGTTGAACAGGAGGTAAAAATTTTGGCTAAATACCCACACGCCCACATACATACAGCCAACACTCCGTTTGCGCCTGCCCATCTGAGTTTAGTTCTGTTCAACTTATCTGTATCTTTTTAAGAAATAATTGGGCTGCGCACGATACCGCGCGCGTCTAATGGCTTCTCATAAATGAATTTCCTCGAAGATAACATGAAGCGTAATCGTCTTGGCAACTCAGTAACCACCCTCTTCCAAAAAAAAATGAACAGTACCGTTCTCCCACCCCAAATAATAGCGACATAAACCGTTCATTGAGAGCTCACATTTCTAGCAAACTGCACTCGGCAACCACTTACATACGTTTACCTATATACTAACTGAGACAATCCAAAAAATCGAAAAAAGACCTTAAAATCGTTGATTTCTTGTCTACACCTTACCATTGTGGAATGCCTGTATTTCACTGGAGATGAAAGGGGAATTTATTTACACTTTGAAATTTATTCGCACCCGTCGCAGTAGGGTACCTATAGCCTACCAATCGACGATCTCGTGGCCAATATATGTTTGATAAAATTTCATGCAAAAATCATGACAGGCATGTCCATATTTACTATTTCGCGCAAACACTGCCCCCGGTGAGTAGAGTCACCTACCATTAACTTTCCTATCTAGCCGCCTACATCTCTACCAAATTTGAACGCTTCAGGTCCAACTTTATTATTTTCGAGGAAGCCCCGCCCCCAGCGGGCGGAGCCTACACCTGTCACCTGCCATTAGTTTTCCACCTTGTCGCCTGCATCTCTGCCAAATTTGAATACTCTAGGCCCAGGAGAACAGGAGTTACAGATTCCGGTGGACTACAGCTTTCGCGCCCCGCCCCTAGTGGGAAGCTCCGCCCCTGGTGGGCGGAGCCAGCTTAAGTCACGTGTATCCAAAGAGCTCGGCTCATTCCCCACTTGCTCCAAACGTTGAGCTGTTCCAGTTGATTTCCAAAGGCACCATATGAGATAGTGATACAGACAAACAGACAAACAGACAAACACACCAACGGACAAACAGACAAACGGACATTTGCGGTTTATATATAGTAAGGATTACTCAGATCATTCATTCGAAACTAGGTGTCTCAGCATCATCGGGTAGTGTGTCTTTAGAAGGGCGATGCCGAAACACCGTTAAGTGCTTAGTTGGCCCCAAATACTTTATTTTACTACTACTGACAATGGCAGTCTACCCGATTCAATTTCTCGTATTCTTGTGGGTGATGACACTCCACGTAACTTCATCTCCCTTGCTTCCAGACCCCAAAGCTCCATAAGAGACGACGATCATGAAAGTCTGGTAAAACTAGACACCCCATGATTTTTGGCACTTCACACCGATCGGCTACGAATGTGTCTTGTGGAGTGCAGTAGCTGAAAGTGATTAGTGCAGTTTTGTCGAATCTCAACACAAATTCCATTTTCGAGTTCAGCGCAAAATAGAAATGGAGTCTCATAATCTTGGGATTTTGGGTACCACTGATGTCTACAAGACCACAGAAAGTATCACATAGCAATCGGGCAAAATAACCCCTTTTTCATACCCACTCTGTACAGAGGATGTAATTTCGCTCGCCTTTATCAGACAGCCTTCTGCAGAAATTATACCCCCAAGTCGAGCTCGTACGAAATGAGAACAAAAAACACACAAAACGAAACAAAACGACAGCAATATGTGCCTCAACGTTTGGAAGTAGTTCTCAAATCTGAACCTACTCACGTCGTATATTCGTAATCTTCCATCCCTACGACGCAGTTGCCTCTATGATCATAGCGATTCGTGTGGCATACATCCAGTGCGACGTTCTTATCGAAGTCCGGAGACAGAGGCTAGAATGTCAAGCATCAGTCAATTGTTACTTTGCCCCTGC